ACAAAAAGGGCGAAACAAACTGTAGGTTTAGTGATAAGCGCACGACCCTGCATAACCCTGCCTTTAATGACAATTTGACCGTCCAGCAGCGTGATGCGGATAGCAGGACGGTTACGTCCGCATAGGAGTGGCAGACTTGGACAGCATTTGCCGCGCTTTCTCCTCTCTCATCCACCTGGGCTCGATGGCGCGGCGATGTGCCTCTCATTTTGATCCGGCATATTTATAGGCCGGCTCGCAAGGATGGCACGAAATAGCGTGTTTAACAGAAAACGCAACCATAAAACCCCTATCACCACGGGTCCCGTAAGACACAAGACAGGGGCTAAGCGTATATAAGGCCCACTACTTAAACTACTGTTGCCGAATATCACTATTTAAGTAAGGCTCATTTTTCTATACACATTGGTCAACAGTTCACATTTTGTGGATGCTGGGATAGATTAATGTTAAGCGCTTAGAAATCCATACGGGCGGATTCGGTTCGACGATAAGATTATTTCTGCTTTCCTTTCAAGTACCAACTGTCAGGAAAATTGATTTTTCTACAACAAAAGTTTAGAACGATGGATTTTTGGCTTTTTGGGGGATCTATTTTCACTAGAAGGCGCTTTGTTGTTACACTTGCGGATGATTCCCGAGCGAAACTTAAGTTACTACCATAAACATGCTACTTATATTATGCGAATAGCATGTTGCGGTAATATTTTAGATCCGTTATACGAGGGGTTCAAGCGAGGATCCGAAATGTCAGGTCAATAAACTTCTTGTTCCAGCGTTCGCAGCTTCTCCTTCGTAACCCAAACCTTAACTTTAAATTTACCTTAACCCTAACTCTAACCTTAACCCTCATATCCTTGGAATTTAGCAAAAACGCCTCAGTAGTACGGAGCGTTTCTAGCCTCGTATCCTGTCGGGGTGGCCGTACAGAAAAAACGTGCCGAAATACAACTAGCGGAAGTGAAGGGGACAAATGAAGTGATCATAATCAGTAAGTAAAAAAAACGTTGTATGTGTTGCAAAAGGGAGTCCTCGGGAAGGCGGAGGACTCGCGAACTGACCTTGAATACAGTCACTTGAGTCTCAACGCCGGCCACAGACATGCTTATTATAATTAGTACGAAACTAGGTAGGTAGCAGGCAAAGTGATAACGACCGTTATACCGACAGCTTAAAGCACAACACCTTAAAGATTTTGGAAAAGGACGCTGATAACAATGGTGATCATGGCAGTGAGATGATGATGGTGATGATGATGATGATGATGAGGAGGAGGAGGAGGAGGAGGATGAATCATGTCCCGAGTTCGCCATTCCCGCAAAAGAAACTGACAAAACAGGCAAAAAACTGCAAGTCTATGAGAACATAAGCGTCTGCGATATTGGGTAACAGGTTGACTGAGAATTCGACTTTTGTAAAAACAACCTTGGTTGGAGCAAGTATCTGAAAGCTATTATTTGACAAAACCAACTCCCGGCATGGATTACGGACTTCGTAAGTTATGCAAGCAACATGCAAAACTCACCTCCACCAAGTCTGCGCCAAAACCGCCTCGCATCTCTTTTTTGACGCAAGCCATATACTTGTCCCACGGCAGACCATACACATTGCTCGGTTTGATCATTGTAGGTGTCACGGGGAGAGAGTCGGTTTCGGAGGATTCACATTTCCCCTCCTTGAGGCCCTCGAGAATCTAGAAGTAGGCAGTGTTAAAGAGCAAAGCCTGTCTTACGCTGCTCTGTGAGTGGTGAATGAAGGTAAGAGAGGGGACCTTCTTGAAGGCGTTCTCGCGGGCAAGACGTTGTCTGAATGCATTAAGAAGAAGCGGAACTGAAACATACCTGATGGTAGGTACTGTGGAATTCAGAAGCACGCCCACACGGCAGATTTCATGCAACTGCGGTGAATTGGCTGTTGGGGCGAAATTCTCTTCGTCCATTGACCACCGGACTGTCACATTTCGCCCATCACTACCTGATCGAAGCTGTATTAATGGAATTTTACACAGAGTCAAAAATAG